TCGCACAAATATATAACACAGGCCTGCATGATATTGTTGATTGGGATTTAACAATGTTTTCTTATGTAAGTTTTCGCGCAGAATCTGAATCCGGTTTCAGAATTACTTTATCAAATCAAGATTTCGAAATATCTTAACCCAAAAAAAGTCATTTCAAGCACTATTTGAAATTCAATTAAAAATTGAGAAAATGGCTTTTTGCGTTGATATATCGAAATCTTAATGTGCAATTCTACAGCCGGATTCGGATTCAGCGCGAAAATTACGTAAGAAAATATTAAATTACAATCAACTTTCAACACATCCAATTTTACAGGCCTGTGTAATCAATTAAAAATTATGTTGATGAAAAATATATTCATTTATTAATATAAATATTAATAATATTTACAAATTTGAAACCAAGTTGATATAATAGGAAATCTGTAATTGAAAATTGATAAAAAATACATATTGTAGGTAAAAAAATTTTTTTAACAATCAATTGATTTCTATAAAACGCATATTACCTCCATTTTTTGTTATCTATGATAGCAGTAGTCGAGAGTAAAAACCACTTGTTGAATTAATTAATCAAACAAAACAGAACAATTAAAGGGCTAAAAGTCAGTTATAAATAATAATAAAGATGCTCTTTGTTTTAATTTTATTTAATAAAGAACGTTTAATTTTAAAGACAAAAATAAAAATAATTACATAAACAACAAACATGTCAACACCGATCGGGTCATTCTCAATGTTACAGTAAATATATTATTATAAAATAATTGAAAATCTACAAAATATTGCTTCATAGTGATATTCTCGCTTTCTTCCACTTATAATATTGCAAGTCAATCAATTAAAATAGTAAAAACAGTCATTGAAAAATTCATAGCGCAGTAATAACCTAAAGTGACCGTTAACAAAAAAAAATTAATGCTATTACAAACTAAAATTATATATCTTATAAAAAAAAATTTTTTTTAAATGTACCTTATAAAATAAAATGTTGAAAGTCAATAAATAAAAAAATTCATCGTGGTAATACACACAGTAGTTGTCTTCCTATAAAAATTCTTATAAAAGATTTTTTATCTTTAATATTTTTATTATTGGATTGGAACTATTACTCTATTGAACTATTACTCTATTTTTTTAACATTTATAAAGAAAGTTGTTTACCTTATTTTCAAAGATATTGTTTATACATACAATTTTTCAATCATTTGTAATCAATGTCAATTTCCTGTACGGAGACTCATAAAGCTAATAGAATTTGTATGAACGATCTTCAACGACTGTTTTGACTACTATTTAATATGTCTAAGGAGGCCTCAATCCAAGAGCCGAAACTTGTAACGAGAGACTTATTTATATATATTTATATTCTTTAAGTACATTCAGTATTTTTTAAGTAATGTTTTTTTGTGTGTCAAGTTAAGTTAATTATCGAAAGAAGTTATTAATGATACGTTTTACATTTTAAAATTTTGACTCTTATATCGCCCTTGTTTTCTTATTGTTTATTTTTATATAAAGAATCCTTATTTCTTTTCTATTTATTTGTATTACTCTATTGTTAATGTAAAATTTAATTCTATTTTGAATAGTCGAAAAAATAATTGATAGTGGATATCTTGATTTAAAAAAATATTTATTAAGTTTAATTTGAAAATATTAATAGCTTTTTAGATACTTTGTTAATTGTAAACAGAGATTTATTTTCGACGGATTTCGTAAAGTACCTTTTCCGGTAGATTCCTTAATTTTAATTCGCACCATCCGCTTTGTCACAAGAAAGATGTAATTCATGGAGTTGTAGACAAAATAATTCGTTTATGTCATCCTCAATTCCAGCAAAATAATCTAATTAACAATATTAACATTTTTTTAAATAAAGAATATCCACTACCATTTATTTTTTTGACTATTCAAAATAGAATTAAATTTTACATTAACAATAATAATAGACCTAATAATAAAAACGTTAATAAAAATAATAAAAAGGATAAAAATTTTTTTACAATTCCATATGTAAACTCTATATCAAAAAAATTTACACAAATAATCAATATTTATCAATATTAAGTTTAACTGTAAATTGGCCTTTACTATTCCAAACACATTAAAAAACTTAATAAAAAGAGGGAAGAATCAGCTGAAACCTATGTATAATCAAAACATTGTTTACAAGGATTTTTTGTGAGGATTGTGATGTTGATTACGTAGACCAAACGAAGAGACAGTTAAAGATAAGACTGCATGAGCACGTTTCAGATATTAATAAAAAATCAAAATCTCAATCGGTGATATCCAACCACTTGAGAAGAATTAGGGGCTACGCAGAATAAAAGGAACAGGGAACAGAAAACAGAGAATAAGAATTTCAACCTATCAGAAATCATATACTGTGGAATAAACAGTGTGTATTCCATAGTACATGATTTCTGATAGGTTGAAATTTTTATTCTCTGTTCCCTGTTCCTTTTATTCTGCGCAGCCCCTTATAACTTCAAATGGGATATGGTAGATATTTCCTTCCTGACATATTACATTATCTGGCAACATCACTTGCTTTTTACATCTTTTGCGATCTTGCTCCAACGAATTTAGGAAGACAACTACTGTGTATTACCACGATGAATTTTTTTGCATTATTTATTTATTGACTTTCAACATTTTATTTTATAAGGTACATTTAAAAAAAATTTTTCTTTTATATATATATATATAATTTTAGTTTATAATAGCATTAATTTTTCTTTGTTAACAGTCTCTTTTTAGATTATTACTGCGCTATGAATTTTTCAATGACCGTTTTTACTATTTTAATTGATTGACTTGCAACATTATGATAAGTGGAAGAAAGCAAGAATACCACTATGAAGCAATATTTTGTAGATTTCCAATTATTTTATAATAATATATATATTTACTGTAACATTGAGAATGACCCGATCGGTGTCGAAACGTTTGTTTTGTTTATATAATTATTTTTATTTTTGTCTTTAAATTAAACGTTCTTTATTACATAACTGGCTCTTAGTCCTTCAATTATTCTATTTTGTTTTATTATTATAGAACCTTATTATTACTTTTTATTTTTAATTAATCAAATTTAATATAACACGGATTTACATAGTAATAAAACTTTCCTATTGCCAACTCTACTTACATAATGCCATAAATTAATGCAAAAATAAAAAAATATTTTCATTAATAAAATAGTTGCAGTTTTATATAATTAATAAAATATAAATAAAAGTATAGTAAAACATATGATTAATGAGTTAAAATAGGATAAAATATTTAAAAGCATTAATTTTTAATAAATATAATCTTTTCTTTCTATTACATTTATTAAAAATATTTAGTTTCTTTCATACATATGGATTTCATACTAGATATTTAAAAACTAAAATGTAAATTATAGAATTAATACTGATTTATACGACACTTTATTTTTATTCTATGCACTCAAAAATTAGGAAATTATTAATAAATTATTTTTAATAAACATTATTAATATTTATTTAAACAAAGGTATTCGAAATTAAAGTAAGAAGGCAACTGTCCTCTAGAATGGTAAAATGTCTCTCAACTCATAATAAAGCATACAGCATCTAAATTTTATGCGTTCTAGACTATAAAGAATTTATATATTACACGTTAACATTCTCCTTCAATACATTAAGAAAGTACGTAACAAATAACGTACACAATACCATATTGAAATGGATTGTTATCTCACATGTCTTACCTGTAAATCCATGTCTAATTTGCATAATGATGAAACTTATTTATAGTGCTAACTATATACTAATTTTGTTATAATAATTTCTTCAATCCTAGTTTCAACCTTTCCTGAGCTGGATTCACTTTGATTTTTAATTGCTGAATTAAATCAAATATTTTTAGAGAAGGTCCAACTTTAAAACCTGTTAGGTCTATTATTTGGTCCTTAGTGAGAATCAGCAAAGTCTTTCCATCTATTTTACGTTTACTAAAATTATCGCAATATGTCGCACAGTCATTCACTCGAAGAAATTGTGCAACATCAAAAACATTCCACTCAGATGGCACTAGATCACCAGATTCCGAACCTTTTTGCACACCATTTGCTAACCTTGGTATATATTTAGTAGTTGCCGTAGTAACCTACAAATCAAATAAACCAGAATTTAATATACAAGTCTAATTATTTATTTCAGATATTTATGGAAATACTAATAATAAATAGACTTACATTTATATATGACGTAGCGGTATTTTCCTTAGGTGGTGAAGGGCTGTGTGCTTCACTTTGCGTATCGTTCAATGCTTGACCTTGTCCAGTAGTAGGACTGGGTAAAGTTTGGTCAGGTCCAGCTGGCTCTTGTGCTGTTTCTGGTTCTCTGCTTCTCTGTTCCGGTAAACTTTCGAGATCACGTTCTCTTTCAATTTTTGTTCCTTGAGCAGGTTCTAATTCTCGCCCACGTTCACGAGACATACTAATACGTTCGCTCTGACGAGGTAGTATACTTTTGGAGCAAGACATCTTGCTACTTTTCTTCAATTTTCTCTTAGCTTTACGTTTAAGGCCTCTTGGTGATTTTACTGCAAGAACATGTACATAAATCCAAGAATATAAAAAAACACAAATAAATCGCTTATCTGTGTTTGCTTTGACCACAATTGATCAACTCTTAGTGTTGCTTGAAATCCTTTTAAATTTCTACATTAAAAATGAGATATATATTCAAGTTGGAGACAGAGAAAAAAAGAAACAAAAATTCTGAATGTAAAAAGTACAAGCAACACGAACAGACCTATGAATATGTGTATAAATGTGCGCATAGAAATGTACCAGTAGGACTAATGTTTTTTACGAGTACACGCGGCCCTTCCAATTTATGATCGACAAGATCACACCACCCAACAGGATAAATATCTGGACTTTGACAATCTAACCATTGATCATATTCGTCTTCCCAGCCATCAAAATGTACTCGCAATAATCTGCCAATCACCCTAGTAATAGTAGCAACGCAAACTAATCTAGGATCCATTAAATCAGCAGCTTCTAATCTCATTCCTTCAATAAACCCATGCTGAGGAATTTCCTAAAAAAATATATATATAAAAGTTTATCGCAAGATCAAATTATAAATAAGAATTTAGAGAAACTAATTTAAAGTGTGATAGTGGCATGGCAGGCATCGCACTGATCTATCATGCCAGAGATCCCGGATTCGATCCTAGATATTTATACTCTTGTCTCCTCTCGAAAAAGATCGACAATCCTTCAAGAATATTATTGCCCACAGAAACACCTCTCAAAAAATTTGCCATTCGGTATTAAGATTATACATAGATTCCATATACTTGTGACAAATGAATAATCAGCGTTCACACCACAAGCATATGAAAGAGGTGTAACACAGGATAGAGACCTAATGCAATAGAAAGAACTAATTTATAAATATATATAGAAAAATTACCCAGTTAAATAACTGAATAGGAGCAGGTATAGTATTGGTCTCTGTTAGATATGCATCCCATGTAAAAGTGGTAGGATCGTAACCCTTTGGAGGCGTTAAAGGTAGACCGTGTTGGGAACAAAAACCAACTGGAAAAATGCATGGCGAACACGAATGGTAACAAAACCAATCAGCACCGCTAGCGTCTGCATCATAACTGTCGATGCGAATCATGATGTAATCTTTTTCTAAAACTTGCATAACTGTCGCCGCGCATATAGCCGAAAGATTGAGTGGATCGATGGCTTCTATTTTCATTCCTTCCTTAAACTTGTATGCGAGATGAATGTGATGATTCTTTGGCACATGAAAAAGATTCTCCGTTGCATCGTCTTCAGATAATTTTGATTTAGAAACACGATTCAAATACTCGGGATACGCATCTAGCATCTGGCCTACTTTCTTAGCCCAGCCAACGGGATGTATAAGAGGCGAGTCTTCGTGACACCAAAATCCATTATCCTCCGGAGGTGAATCGTAATATCTTACGTGCAAACGTTTACCAACAATTTTTTGTATTGTCGCTACTTTCACTTGTGAGATTCTGTTTTTATCGACCACTTCTAAATGAAGACCACATCGAAAACGAGATTTCATACTATCATTCACTTTATTATAGAAATTTGTTGGTAATGTCCTCGCACCGGTTAATCGCCTCATTAAAAAGTCCTTCCAATCTTTGTATTTGTTTGCGATTGCTGAAAAAAAATCATACAATATATTAAATTTTCCCGTACGTACTTTTCCAAGATTAACAATCATTTTTTTTAATAGATTTGTTTAAATATTATCATTTAAATATTTAAATATTATATTATCGTTCTGTTATAAATATTTCGATTACGTACTGTTAGGTGGAATAAGAGGTTTTCCAATTGTGGCACACCAGCCAACAGGATGTATATCATTAGAACAAAGTGACACCCAAAAATCTTTATCTGCATTATGTCCAAAACCTTCATACCTTAACAAAGCTCTGTATCCACATATACGTAATACAGTCGCAACCCAAAACGAATCTGGGAAAGCCTCACATACTTCATCACAGTCGGTATTTTCTACCTCTACTTTCATACCTACTGTGATATTATCCCAGATCTCTGATATAGGAGCCTAAAAAAAAAGTTGATAATATAACAAAACTCTGTAAAACTATACATATATTATATATATCATTATATCTATTCAACAAGCTGTGATGTCCAGTCGTAAGAACCTGCCATTTCTGCTGTTCTTTTTCTTCTAACCGGTAAATCCTCTGGCATTACTGGCTCTAATTTAACCTTGTCCTTTTCTGATTCTGTAAATCCTTCTAACTCTTCTTTTATAACAACCTGGAAAATCAATATTGATTTGTAACGCAAAAATACTTTTTTTAGCATGTATAAATAATAAACTATTTAAAATTGTACAATGTAAATATACAGCAAATAAGAAATAAAGTAATATGTGTTATGTGGCTTAGAATATAAAATAAAACCAAAACAAAGAGCATACAGCCACAGCGCTAATTATGATGAGCGAATGTCCTTTATTCAAATTATACATCAAATTTGTGTTTAGACGTTTCGGTCTACATATTTTAGACCATCATCAGTAAAAATTATTACAATTAAAAATATTACAAACTGATATTATAATTAACGCTGTGACTGTATACTCTTTGTTTTGGTTTTAAGAAATAAAGCTTATACTGATAAAAGCAAGATCTTAAATGCTTTAAATAATTATATGTGAATTTATATACTACTTATATAAATTATATTTCACACTATAACATATCTTATATATGATCGCACCAATAACAGCAAATTGCTCTCATTAGCCTTTATATTCTTGTTATTTTAAATTATATTTATATAATTCAGTGCGCAATTCGAGAGACTACAAATGTGATACATAAATTTACATGTAATTATTTAAAGCACCTAAGATTTAGCTTCGATCAAGATAAGTTTCATTTCTTACTTGTTGTGTATGTAGTGCAATTTTTGTCGTACACTTTCTATCTGTAAATTTATAACTTACATCCGTCGGTTTTGTTTCAATAGAAGAAGTTTGGTTCACAGATATTGGATGATCCATTGAGTGAGTTGGACTATATGTGGAGTCAGCAAGAAGTGCTGTAAATTCTGAAGAACGTGCACATGCTCTACTGCAAAATCTACGCTCCTTTGTATAAAAAGCATGTTTTACACCAATAGCACCGCATTTTTCACAAACAGCTGTAAAATAAAAATTTAAGGTTTTATACAGCAAACATTTCCTATGATAGAAAGATATAAATGACAAGTCACACCCATAATTAAAAATTTGTTTAAATCTTCTTCTATTTCTTTTTTTAATAATTATAGTTTTAAAAGCTGTAGATTAAATAGTTTTGTTTTTAAATATATATTTTAGCTTTTTATGATTATTATATTTACCTATACCATCTTTGCGAATAGGAATAAAATTTAAATCGGTATGAGGTTGATAAGCAATTGGCGTTTTTAAAACAAGTCCTGGATGCTTTATAGGTTTTATTTTCCGACTGCGATTGTCTTGGGTAGTCTGAGTCGCTGCATTGCTCACAATATGTTCCCGTTCTTCATCACCTATGTAATCTTCTAATGTCAAATATTCATTTATCTCAGGCCTTTCGGACTGTGAATCATAATCCTTGAGAAATAGAAAAATCATATTAAGAATACATGCATAAAAATCAGGTTTCTTCTGTAAGAACAAAACTCACTTGCTGTATCTCATGGGTATCTACAGCTTCCATTGCTTCATCAGGTTCCGAACACTCGTTTGAAAACTGTTGCGGTATATAGCGTACCATAGTAGTAGAAGCAAGATGATTTCTGAGATCTTCATAGGGATGTGACCCATGTGAGAAAAATGGACTCTCACTTTGACGAGGATCCAGCATCAGTTCGTGTGCGGGTTCCCCTAACATCATATCTCCCATCCATACCATTCCTAGTTGTTCAGGAAATCCAGGGATGGAAGTATACACTGTATTCATACACATATCCGTTTCTATATCCATACAATTAACCAACTATTACTTTTAGTTGAATTGCTAACACTGAAATATTCTTTCGTAATTTCTGTTTTTATAGGAAAAAGTATATAGTGTGTATTATGTAAATACTAGAATATATTATAAAGTCTTTTTATTCCCAAATTTAAGAGACTCTGTTTAAGCAATACTCCATGTAGAAATTGAGGTATATGGATAACAACATAAATAATATATTATTTAATTAACGTTTTACTCTACTGACACATGTTTTGGACAAATTATAATAAATTATAATTTACAATCTCTGTACCATAGAATGTAATTTCATTCAATATTCATTTGTAGCGCGATGCACAATTATGAGAGAGCTATCAAGATAACGAGTTGCATGGTTTTTTTGTAATTTTTTGTGCAAATTTGCAGATAACGTTCAGATTTCAAAAGCGACGCTAGAAAATCTTAAGAACGTATTTTTATTTAACCCCTTCTATTATACATTTGCATGTCTCATGCGTTTAATAATCCCCGGCGAGCGTTCAGTTCGGTATGCGAATAAACGCAAAGGTTGATCCAAGAATGTCGCATCGTCGTTAAAAAGAAAACGATCGGCCGGTCAGAGACGAATCATGCCGCATAGGAAAACAAGTGCGTACCATTAGAAGCTTGCATGTCCATGACAAAGAGTCGTCCGTGGATTTCCTCGACGTTTTCCACTGGTATTACCGCAACCTACGCTTGTCGCAGTGCATTAGTCCCATCTCGATAGGTACAAAGCACATCGCCACCGCTTGAATTTCACTTCGACTAAATCAGAATCAATCGAAATTCAATCTATTTCGCTACATCTCCGAACAATAGGGCAAAACATTCAGCGGTAGGCCGTCGCTTCGCCCCCCCCCCCCACTATTTTCGTCTTCTCTTGGCAGGGTGAGCAATTGCTGCGCCTGAAAGGAACCAGTGCAAGCTGTATTAATAGCAGGGTATCATGCTGGATTCACACTGCACCGATTTTCGTCGTACGACGACTCTGGCTGCTTTCGATCAAGGTTTTTAGGCGACACACATCGACACAGTGTCGAACGCGGTGCTTTCCAACAACGACACGCCTCGGCACGATTCGACACAGCAGCTTAGGCTGCTTTCCATCAAGGCTTTTATAGCGTTTTCCACTGGGAAAACTGGTGCAGCACTAGCGCCGTGCTACCCAATCAGAATACCATATTTAAAAAATATTTTTTAAAAATATTAAATATGGTATTCTGATTGGGTAGCACGGCGCTAGT